AACATGCTGCATCAAAAGATCTTGCTACACCTCTATATCATTCCTATGATGATCAGTCAGCAGGTGGTCAAAGTTCAGATAATAGTTTTTCACATACGGTTACTAGAATTAGGAAACAGTGTAGTAAGTTCTGACATTCTGTCTGCCACTCTTACAATAGCTTCTTGATTTAGGTACAAATTCTTGATGAGCCTTCGATCTTTCCAATCAACTCCAATCTTCTTCAATATTGCCATCAGTTTCTTCCAGTTTACTCTATCAAAGGCTGGCTCAAAGTCCACGAAACATATAAAAACATCCAAGCCGTGTTCCAAGCATCTCTCGTAGAGCATTCGCATGACGCCTACTGCCTCTTTCGTTCCGTATCCTCTTCTGAAACCGAACTGTGTTTTACCAATGAAATATTGTGTTTTGGCTTCGAATCGTTTTGCCAGCACTTTCAGCATTATCTTCGAAGCATGCGGAATCAGGCTAAGCGTTCTGTGATCAGCACATTCTGTTGCATTTGGCTTTTGCTCCATCGTGACAATTAGTGCTTTGGTGAAATCTCTTGGCCATTCACCTTTTTCATACATATCCTGATATATTCGTATCAATTCCTTTTTAGCACTACCTTCAAGTTTCTTCAACAGTTCTGCCGGTATTTCATCAATTCCTTTTGCTTTCTTGTCTTTCATTTGTCTTATCGCTGCTTCAATTTCGTCTTCCAGAATTCCAGGGCCTACGTTATCTACTTCCACATCCATTTCGCTTTCTAAATCTATCTCTTCCTCTGTGGGCTTACCATCTTTGTCGTACAGCTCTTCAATATACTCTTTCCATCTTTGTCTCACTAACTTCGGATCAGTTAGTAGTGTGCCATCTTTATTCTTTGTGAAACTGATGGTGACAAACACCTGATTTGTGCAAGAAAAGAGAAGGAGATACACGTGGAAGAACCCTGGCGGAAAAGATCGGTATCAATTGGATTACATTCTGGTAAATCAAAGATTCAGAAATAGCGTGAAGAAGTCATGTAGTAACATATTTTTGCTAATAATGAACAGCCGACACAGTAGTGTCTTTTTATTTTGGCACTCATAAAAACTACAGATAAACGTTTCTGTTATAGGACCCCATTAAGTCGACCTCTTTCATCGATTGCAGTCATTTTGTCGTCTTTTTCTTTACTATACTCAGATATAATTTATTTTTTTTGATTATGCTTTGGATGGATTCACTTAGAAGTCATTGTGACTCACAAAGGAGCATAAAATGATCACAAATGCGCTTCGTATGAATATTACTTTGGGCTTTCTTGCTACCTGTCAGCTTCTTCAACATGGAATATACTAAGTCTGCTTTGCCCTGTTTGTTAAGCAACTCAAGTCCATTGCACTCCCTTTTCCACCAATCCTCACCTGCCTTGTCAGTAATCCTCCGGAGCTCATTATTCAATTTCCGGTACATTTGTCTTCCATCTTCAGTATTAATACCTTTCCATTTCCTTCTCTCTTCCATTTTTCCAATCATTTCATCGGTTATCCATCCATGGTTTCTTAATTCTAGTCCTAGGGTCATATCCTATGGTTACTTTTGCACTTTCTATGATACTCTCTTTCAAATAATTCCAGATTTCATTTATCGATTTCCGTCCCTTCATCTTCTCCATCCTACATTCAACCTCATTCCGAAAACCGCCACTATCATCATGCTTCAATTGCTCCAGATTCCATTTTCTACGGACCGAGGCTTTTTGAGTATCTTTAATTTTACTCTTACTTTTATCATAACCAAATTGTGATCTGAGCTAACATCTACTCTCGGATAACTACATGACTTCTTCACGCTATTTCTGAATCTTTGATTTACCAGAATGTAATCCAATTGATACCGATCTTTTCCGCCAGGATTCTTCCACGTGTATCCCCTTCTCTTTTCTTGCACAAACCAGGTGTTTGTCACCATCAGTTTCTTTTCTCTACAGAACTCTACTAGTTTCTCTCCTCTTTCATTTCTCTTTCCCAGTCCAAAATTGCCAACTTCCTTTTTATCAACGCCTCCATCAATTACAGCGTTCCAATGGCCCATGATTAATATAGTCACTGGCTTTTCTATTGCAACTAGTTCATCAATTTGCTTATAAACCTTATCCACTTCTTCGTCGTCACTTGCTGAAGTAGGCATATAGACTTGTACTATTACGATATGCACTGGTTTCGCCTCTATTTTCACTAGTATGAGTCTGTCACTATGCTGAACCACTTTCTTGACTCGCTTTCCTGTTTTCGCATCCAATATAATAGCCACACCATTTGCACCTCCTTTTGCATTACCACAATGAATGATCCTGTATTTCTCTAACCAGAAATCACCTTGTTCCTTCCATCTCACTTCTGCTAATCCCAGCGCATTTAGGTTATTTTTTGCCATCTCTGTCTAAACATTTTCAATCTTCTCCTTCTTCAACATTGATCTCACATTCCAAGTACCGATCTTCAGCGTTTCGCAAGGGTTGCGCCGGATGACGACCTTGGAAGCCTTGTCACTTTCACTACCGGACGCGACATCTCTGGTTGAACCAGAGGTCCCGTTAACGTCGTTAGCGTTTGTTTTCCTAATTGTTGTCATTCATGTGCCTTGTCTAGGGAAAAAAAAGACGAGGTAGTTTCCCGTTGCTTTCCTCGCCAGCTGTACAGACCATTTTGAGAATAGCACTACCTAAGCTCTGTTTTACAGTATGCCATTGACCCTGTAGATGAGTTTATCTGCCATCTGCGTGCTTGAGATATCCGTTGACCATACTATGACAGTTCTTCCGCACAACTCAAACGTCATCTTTGCCAGCTTCCAAAGATCACCTGTGACCCTAGACAAGGGACCCTTACAGGTACTATCACTCCGGGTCAGAGTGAACCTGGAACTGTGAGGGCAGGAGTCGCTCATTTTCCAGTATAGTATACATCACCATTGTGACGTACACTACCCACTACCCAGTCACCGTTCACACATAGGCAAAATCAGCAGGGTAACAGAAAAAGAACTAAATTTGTTAACATCATCGTCTTCTTTTTTCCTGTGAAATGAGAAAGTAAGGGTGTTTTACAAGTTTTTATTTCAATTTTAAAACAGATAAGATTACTTTATTTTCTTTGTAAAAACGCTGTACTGACTTAAAAATTTTATATTACTTTCAAAATATACATCATAAGCGAAATGGTGATTTATAATGACGCAAATCTAGGAAAACCATGTACTACATTCCGTAAATATTTTGCTATGGCTAAATGAAAAGGATTGCCAATGTACAAATAATATAGAATATATACAACTTATGATCCCCAACAACTTAGGAGCAGTGTGTGTGTGATCTTTCAGAAAAGCAACGGATGTTTTACCATTTAGTTCTTTCAAGGTTATTTCTGGGATTTCTCACAAATAATGACTAAGAATTAGCATGCTGGAACACATAGTTCCTTCACTAGAAAAACAAACATTTAGACGACAGTGAAAAGAAAGTAACGGATACCAGTAGTTACATCTAGCACAATAAAACGACTCAGTGTATCAAATACTTGAGTTTGAGAGTACATTAAAGAAAAACGTAAAAAAATACTCTTTTCTTGGGTCTGAAATCTCGTTCTGTCTAGAACAAATCGAAACTCCAATTAACATCAATTTCAAATAAATGAGACTTCGAACAAAATTAGAATTGTCCTGTGTAAAAGAGAGACTACACTATAAGCTTGAAAATTATTTATAGCCAATCGCCCTTGATTTTCAGAAAGTCTAGGTATAAAATCGCCCAGGATTTTCTACTTAATAGAAAATCGAATTCCCATTTTATTCCCATTATCGAATTTCCATTTCAAATGGTACAAGTTTCATTTGTTAATCAATTACGAACAAAAATGCGTTTACTTGATCAATGCCATCTGTGATCCTTCTATTTTACCAGTTTTCTACTACCTATTGATCAAATAATATACAAACG